GCAGCCCAGCTCCAGGTTGAGCTGCCGTTCAGCATCCCAGCTGTAGAGGGCAGTGTCACTGGCCCTCATATGTGGGATCCGAACCGGGGCCCTCCGGCATCCCAAGCGAGCTCTTAACCATCGCGCCACTCGGCCAGCCCCGGCAACGTTTATCTTTACTGAATGGTGAGTTTGATGACTTGATGTAAGATTAACCTACATTTCAGAGGAAAATCCAGATTTGGAGTATCCTTCAAATCTCATCATAACAATTGAAGTGAAGCTCTAGGGTGATAACTGTCTTAAAGGGAAGGGGAGGAGATGATGATGGGACTGGAGGATGTTACAGGCAAGAGAATCCATGAAGGTGACAAACTGGTGCAACGGGGGGTGCACAACATAGATACAAGTACACGTTTCCCTTCCTTTCTTCCCTTTCTGCTCATCACTATGATCCTACCTATACAGATCCCTCAGTTGATGGAGATTTGGCGTAATATGAGAAATGAACCCTGGGTAAGAACACAGGCCACAGCAGAATGTAAGAAGAAAAAGATACAGAAAGGAAGACTAGAAAAATGCAAGGCAGAAACAGCAAGTTGGAAAGGGCTGTTAAGGATGATACAAGTATGAAATAAAGTTACCCTTTGAACAACATGGGTTTGAATTGCCTGAGTCCACTTATGCATTAATTTTTTTTGGTAAGTACCAGTATTGTTTCTGATCTGTGGTTGGGAGTCTGAGTATACAGAGGGTCAACTGTAGGCATTGATCTTCACCATTTTATACAGGGGACTTGAGCATCCGTGGATTTTATTATCCATGTGGGGGTCATGGAACCAACTAAATTTTTGGTGAGTCGAAATTTATACGCAAATTTTTTACTGCATGGGGGTCAGGGTCCCTAACCCCTGCATTGTTCCAGGATCAACTGTGTATAAAGCCAATGAACTACCTGTAGTGAAATTAAAAACAGTGGGCCTCTACTGAGCCATGTGAAATACTGCCTTGATTCTTGATTTTGCTCTGATTGTGGTTAAGTCTTTCAAGGATGGTAGAACCTTAATAGGGTTAGATAGTCAGCATATTTCAGTGACAAAATGTAAACAGAATATTAAGAAAAAGAGAGTTAGGCTTACATCTTGTCCGTTAATGCCCGCCACACCTGGATTTCCTTTTTCTCCTTGTTCACCCTAGAAAGAAACAATTTATACAGTGAAAAATGTTATATATAAGAAGTTTTACTAAGAAAAAGCAAGACAGTTATATTATTTGAGTATTTATAACAATGTGATTACTTTGCTAATTCCTTGAAAAAAACAATGATTAAAAAGAAATTATGAGTTTTAAAATGAAAGAGAAGTTTAAAGATTTAAAGAAAAGCTGCATAAAAATGATTAGAGTAGAAATAGAACAAGGATTATTTATTCGTTTCTATAAGCAACAAGAAACTTTCTAGAGGGCAATTTGGCAATATATATATATATATATATATATATATA